AGCTATTAATTTTATGTAACATTTATAAATAAAATGTTTTATTTATTTTATGTCACAAATAATGCTAGAAAGGCTGTGCCCGGTTTTAGCATCTCTAGTATGAGGTGTCTGAATTTTGTATTGAAATTTCTTTAAATAGTATTTAGAACAAAAACACAACTGCCGGAAGACATAAATAGGAATAAATAGTATTTCAAAAATACCAACAATCATTCCTCTTACTGTGGAACCGCGTCATATTCTAAAAACGTCACAATAGCGTTTATGGATCATCGTAAAGACTCCTAGAATCCTGGAATAGTTGAACAACTTAATACCACTGAAATTCAGCGTTTAACACCATAGTGGTGAAGTGCGTGCCTGTGTGTATCTATGTTTTTACGAGTGAGGGCGGAAATATTCGAAAAACGCTGGGGAGGTCGCATATGAGATTTTTCACTCATTAATGTCGACATCTTTCTCTGACATCTACCCCGTGGAACCGTCGTTAGGCGTTACAAAGAATGGAAGGGTGTCTAAGTGTATCAATGGAAGTGTGTTTGTGAGTGTGTATCTGTATATGTGTGCATTTGTATATGCGTGTGTATGTGCATATACGTTGTGTGTCTGTGCGCGTGCATGCATGCAATTGTGTGAACAGGTCTAACGAGGTAATTTGTTGCGGAAAATTGCAGAATGATTTAATCCAAACCATAATATTGTACCATTATCCTAAAAAGAACAATACAATTTTTCATAAAATAGACTGAAAATGCGCGAGTTAATAAAAACAGTAAGTTTTCAGAATCAGCAGCAATGCTCGAAGGAGTAAAATTACGGGAGAGCTTGCCCATCCTTCTGAGTAAATATGATTTGGGAGTTTCAGCAATTCCCAAAATGACAAACGTCCTCTTTCCAGGAGCAGCGTTGCGTGTCTCTTAATTCAATATTGGACCGCTAGATGGCAGAAGCGTTGGTATGGCATGCTTTGGTTTCCATTCAGACTTGTTTCAACGTAGTTACAACTTCAAACACATTTATCTTAAAACGATTTTTGGAGCCGTGTGTCACTTTTGCATCCATGAACAGTATGGCCCCTTGGGATCTCAGGATGTTTTAGCTAACACACTTTGAGGGGAAACCAAGTAACATTCATTTCTTGTACTGGGAAATAAAAACTACGAGAAGACGCAGATATTTGTGAGATAGCAGTTTCCACACCGATAATGTGAAGACACGTAGAAGAATATTTCATCATCCGAAAAAAATCGGCATTGATAAAATTTCTATAATTGGGAATAAAACTGTCCGAAACCATCTTTTTTATTAATTTGTGAAATAGCTGATTATCACTGCTGACAGTTGTAGTAGTTTTATTTTTATATTTAAAGTGGGTGAAGAAATTAATTGTATTCACAGAAAAGTACGAATCTTTTGTATGTAATAAACAGAGTAGAGAGTAGAATGGTGACACGGTACTTCTTAAATACACTTCTTTCTTTATTTTCATTATTAATTTCGTAAAAATGTATGATCAGAATACAAACAATACCGAGATGAATTTGTTTGTGTAAATATAATGTGATCTCGTCTGTTTGTTATTTGAATCATAATGGCTAAAGGTACCAAGTGGCTATAAGAGAATATGGCTAGAAGAGAATAAATTCGTGAAATAAATTTCTGTTATTCATTTCCCCGCTAATTTGAGAACGATTTTTAATACTTCATTATAATTCTTGAAGATCACGAAAGACAGAACGAAAGAAGGACGGGAAGGACGCCGGTGTGGGTATATGCCTGGCTCTGTACTTTCTCAGAGTCCTGACTTGATTTTCGAGGGGTCAAAGATAAGAGTTCTGAGTGTAGAGGTTCGCGAAGTCAAGGAGTCGTAGCCGGGTGTGGGTGCAGTTAGACTGACGGAGTCTGCTAAGAGAATTGGAAGGGGAAGGGGATCGGTGAACTGACAGAGGAGTTGGAAGGGAATGAGATGGGAAAAGTGGGAGAAGGAGAAGACAAGAAAGAACAGCGCGAAAGAAGTGAGGAATGTGGGAAATGTCAAAGTGGAGAAGAGGTTAGAGGAGGAAGACTCTGAGTAGACGGGAGAGGGGTCAAGGGATGGAAAGAGGGAAAGGCAGAGAGGCGATGGAGAAGGAGGAAAATGGCGGTGTAGAAGGAAGGGAGCGGAGAGGAAGGGCGGAGGGTAGGGCCCGAGATGGGATGGACAAGTCAGCAGGGCCGTAGAGGCAGCGACCTCTACTTCGCCTCCTTACTCGCGATGCAACGCTGGCTTCCCAGGGCAGGTCTGTAACGTAAGGCCGGAGGCGGCCGTTTCTTTATCCTCGTACACGTGATAGTGCTTTTAACTGGGCTGGCGCGCCCGCGTACAACGTTGAGAAAAGGGGCCGAGAGACGTCTTTTGAAGGGGGAGAGCGGGCGAGTGCCGCTCCCCTTAACGTCCCCGCCGGCTTCACCGGCTCCCTCGAGGGGCATCGCGTGCACCCGCCCTCATAAAGCGACGTTTTTGTGAAGCCTTAACAAAACCTCGGCGGTTCAATCTTCCCAGAGACGGAAAATGACAAGGTAAACAAAAAAGAGTGGCAAACATATTTCTTACGTGTTACGCGACCGAGAAATGTGTTGGAAAATGCAAACGGAGCTTGAATTTACGAGCTCTGCATCAAAAGGAAGCCGAGCGCCGTGGTTGACGCGGATCTCCTAATCTCGTTTTGCACAAAAAAGCTACGGGGTCAAAGGGCAGTGGATACGCAGAGCAGAGGGTCATGGTTGGGCGATGCGGGAAAAGGGGAGAAGGGGGTGGAAAGGAGGGGGATGGGGAGGGAGGGAGACAGAGAGGAAAGACGCGCACGCGCTGTATTTGTGGGCGCCCTCGCCGAGAAGACGGGTGCCGCTGTCGCTTGAGGCGGCAGTAGCCAATGCATTTTTGCATGAGGGTTCTGAATAGCGATATACGTCCTGCATCATAAGCACGAGAAAGTTCTCTCGCCCTTCTGGACTTCTGGGTCTGATGAGGTTATGGAGTTAAAAATGTTATATCGTCCTGTGACAGTCGTAGCGGCGTACTCTTTCACGTAGTGAATGATTTTTCTGACTATACAAAGAAATATTACCAAGACATCTTGGGAAATCAAGATGCACAAGTGTCGATACTTCTATAAAATTATTTGCTGATTAAAAGAACTTATGTCTACGAGCTTGAGAGACACACTGCAAACGAATTCCTTAAATTAGCATGACGATATGTTGATGTGCCGTGTTCTCCCCAACATATTTTTTTGCTTGTTCATTATAATAGAATTAAAAATTACATCAGGATTAAATGGAATGCATGGAGGAAAGTTAATCCCACTATTTTAAATGATTTCCCAATTATCGCATTTTCCCCATGTGCATTTAATGTGCAATGTGCATCCCCCATGTACAATTACTTTGTAATGTTATAAACGCAGTATATATATGATGACATAATATGAAAATGAATTAGGTATTCTGTTGACACTAACAAATAATACTTTCATTTAAAGCTAAATCAATGTTTCGTAGCAGTATCTGAATATTTGTTTGATACTCGCAGGTGCGAATGTTGAAGGCAATCATCAGGAATTATTCTGCCTATTTGCCTGTATCTTCTTGGACTTCGTCAATTGCGCCGTCTCTTCTGAATTGCTTTTCATTATTTAGATTTAGATTTATTTAGTAAAAACCACTAAAAACTGAATTTGACGTGTGGGGGAGATCATCTGCGCACGTTTTCTTGAATTTCAGAATCCCTTTCCATCATTTTAAATATAAATAGTTGAAAGATGAGTAAAAGTTTAAAATAAATAAATAAATCAAATTAAATTTTAAAAAAGCGCGAGATTAGCAATATTTAAAAAAAACTAGACATTTCGTACAATTTTTTTGCATTGCTAACAAAATAGAAACTCGCCCTTACATCTACTCCTACTACTACAAGCAAAAGGAGAGTTCAACGAAAGGTGCGCATTGTGAAGCTACATTTACGTCCAGAAGCAAAACAAGGGGCCATCACATCATTTGCTCAATGGATCAGAAAAACAGGACAAGAACCTGATTGAGATGGGGGTCATTGACACGGAACCTCAAGCACATTATTTGTCACAAGCATATTCAGTCTTTTTAAAGAACTATACAATACAAATGTAAAGTAATGCATTATATATCACTGTTTTATTTTCAGGTATATTTATTTAAGGTATTATATTTAAAATATAGACATCAATATATTCGGCAATGATTAATATTCTTTCGTCAGTTCAGTTTACAAGCTTTTAAAATTGGTTTTTCTATTCCTTTTCAAGGCTAATGGGTGTGAAGAAGTTCTTACCTTGGATGATTTTTTATTCACGCACAAATTAAATTGTGTGAATAAAAATGTGTCTAGAAACGGCATTTGTAGGATGTTCATACTTGGTGCACTGTGGTTCGTGTATTAACGCCGTTTAGCTTTAATTTCGCCGTAATAAAAAAGAAAAAATTATATTTATGTTGTAACAAAGTTATCAACTTATCACCAAGAAGTGCAAACAACTTGTTTTGTATAAAATATTAATATTTTAAAACGTTATCCAAAACTATGAAGTGATCAGTATTACGGTATTTGTTTAACTGCTTTAAAAATGTATGTCAATTTATTTTCTATTTCTAATAAAATTACAAGACAAAATATATTCACCCTTAGCAAAATTGTTATCACATCTGTTAACTATAATAAATTGTCAATACGTCAAATAACAGAAAAGTATTACACATTAATGTCCATTACAATGATACCCCAACTATTTTCCTTCCGATGTTATTTAGATTTACTTGTACAATTATAAGGAAAATGGGGAAAATATGAGGGAAATATTTATTTTATTTTATTAATATAATGGTGAAGTAATTGTAAAGTTTCAATGTATACGTAAATCAGATTCCAGGAAAAGTTAACCGGGAGTAGATTTAATCGGCTGCAAATACAACAGTTTTACGATACTTACCTCTTCTACTTCACCGAAGACACGAAGCAAGTTCTTTCCAGCAAGTTTCTTGATGTCCTCCTCAGTCCAATCAGGGTCTTCCAGGAGACGTGCCAACAATTGAGGATATTTGGAAACGTCCTCAAGTCCTGTAGGTGTGCTGTAGGAGGTTCAAATCACATTGCAATAAGCAACATTGTATAAATCGCTGTGGACAAATAAATATATATTCATTATAAAAGAAATCCAGTGATTCTTTGAATTGTACTGATGTCTTACTGATGAATTAAAAAAAAATAAAACCCTTAATTAAAAAATATCACGTGTAAATCAAATCATACATTGAATAAATTCACTTCAAATTTAAAACTGACGACGTTTGAATAATAGCTCAGAGTTTTAAGAAACGGGATATATTGCAATTATTTTTATGATTTTGTGTTGAATATTTTGTAAATAAAATATTTGTGATTATATTATCGACCGCATGAAAAGTTTCAAAAATAATTATACAAAAACATATTGGCACTAGAATAATCATTTTTGTAAAACATGCAAAATTTCTAGGGCTCCTCCAAACACAACTACCAGTGAGAGTAAAGGCACAAGATAAACAGTCGAAACGTCAGAGTGCTGCTAGGCACACATGCTCGGTAACAGCGTCACATGCTTGGTGGTGTGTAGGGCACCCGTAAGGGTCGGCTGGTCGCGAGCGCTCCGTCCAAGGCGGTTGGCGAGCGGTTAGAAAGCGGTTCGCAGCGCGGTCGCGCGTCGCTCAACTTCAAAGGCGCGTGGCCACGGCTCAGGAGCCGCAGCTCTCAATGGCGGCCGAAACTCCGCCGGCGCAGGCAGCCAAACGAATCACGGCGTACTTTCCACACGTATGTTGAATGAAACCATGGAATTACAAGCACAATTTCTGTGAACGATACAAAATATCTGAGGCACCTAGTACGAATCGGCGACTGCCTCCTAAAGGCAGCCCACTATTGTTCTTACTTTTTACTTAGCCGTCATACTACGTACAAACGTATTAAATAGAAAGTCTTGTCATGCCCCAGCAAAAATCGGCGACTTTCCACACATCACGTATTGTGGGAATATATATATATATATATATATATATATATATATATATATATATATATATATATATATGGATAAATCTTGTAAATTATTTCCTAAAACACTGTGATCGGAATCCAGGTTTTGTAGGTCTTTGATGGATGAAAATTGATTGACGGTAAAAGTCTCCGTGTTCGCCTCTGTGTAATCAACGCTAGCGGTTTAACCGTTCATACGATTTTCTTCAAAACTGTCATTCCTCCATCTATATGGCCGAAATCATTGCCCTGCAAATTTGAAACGGTTTTGATTTTTAAGAATAATTTATATGAAGCCTACACAACATTTTTAACTTTATCTCAAAAATAGTTCCACATTTTTCAATTAACTTTTTTCTTACATGGAGCAAAGGACGCTTAACAAATGGCGCATTTCTCATTTTCGTTGAACTCTCTAAATTTGTGAATATTGCAAAAATTAAAATTCTTAAAGCTTTTTGAAAATGGGCACTGCTCCTGCATTCGCCTGGTGTTGATCGGAGAAACCTCGGAAAACTACCGGTCAGAGTTGCTGGCCGCTAGACAGCGGCTGAATTCGACCAATAGCAGAGCAATTTAGTAACCGCAGCCGAATGCGCATGCGCGAGGGGCGACTCCTTCATCAGCCGCTGCGTCCCCTCAAAATGTCGCACTGCGCCCAACTGGGCCCCGGCGGAGGGAGGGGGGCAATGCACAGGCAGGCTGTTGAATCGGACCCAACGCGTAGTATAAGAGCAAGCTACCAAAATCAAAACAATTTCACCTGTGTATGCACAAATGCTGACTTACTATATTGAGGTTCAGTAAAAGGGACATATGGATAGGAGCGTCGCCCCTGGCCCTCAGGCCTAGCCCTTTCGTCTTGGAGTGCTGTGCAGTGTGGTGTGTCTTAATGTAAGGCGTATTTCAAGTGAAGTTCACGGGCGTAATACTGTACTTATTTGTTTCTAAAACAACAGTTCGCAGGTAATGTGGCCTCAACACAAAGACCCCTTCTTACCAACACCATCTCAATCCCATCGAATTAGTTTGGGGGTACTTTAAGGATCGTGTTGCTAAACAGAACATCGATACCCCTCCGCGAGTTAAATAAAATGTATGCCGAACATTATTTTCTGAATATTGCCTAGATCAATGGTCGAAGTATTTTGAACACGTGAAGAAAATCGACCGGAAATATTTGAAAACAGACCTCATCATGGGCGAAGAAGTGGACAAAATTATTGTTTCTTTAGGGCAGTTTCTCTGAGGACGACAATGAAGAAAAGGACAGTGAAGGGGGCAGCGAAAACGTAAGGCTAATACGAATAGCTCTTCCTTGCTGGGGGAGAGCGACGAATAGCGTGCACGCCGGAGGTCAAGAAAGCTGCCATTACAGCAGGGGGAAGACTGTAAAAATAGGCTCCTCCCGAAAGGGAGATTTCAAACTTGTGCTCCTGTAGCCGAGAAGCCACTGTCGAAAATTCGGATACCATTGGGACCCGAATCCTTGGATCTTCCGGTCAGAGGCACTGCAGGGACATCACTGGATGCCCTGAGCCACCTTTACCTTTGCAAGTTCCTGCTTCTTGTCACCTGACCGCTCTGTACTCAACTCGAGGGAAACACGTGAACACTTTAAAGTTACGAGCTATTTTTTCCTAACTATATTAAATTTACGAGCTATTCTCATTTTAAAGAGCGTTGTTTATTAATTTCTTGATAAACACACACAGGACGAAATGTCGTGTTTACGAGGCAGTGAAGAATATTTTTGAGAAGGAATACCTCACCTGATTTTTTACTCACCATTTATACTGAAACATTGATTAATGTTTTTTTTTCAGAGTCAAGATATTTTTCATTGCCAACACCAGAGAGAATTAGAATAAGAAACCTTGCAGAAAAGGTGCCTACCAAACTAATCCCATCGCAGTAGTTCGTCGCCGGCTGCAATCCAATTGGTATCGATAAGGTCGCGCCTCAAAGTCCGATGGAATTTGGTGCGGAAGGATGGCTCGCCAAATGCGAGGAGGTTGGAGGACGAGGGAAAGGAAGAGTGAGCAGGGTTGGGCGGTCGGGGGGGGGGCACTGACCGGCTGATACAGGGGCGGTAACGAGGCTGTCCTCGGCGTGGGGAGACGGGGTGGGAAAGGGCGGGGGCCGCAGCAAACGCTAATGAGCCAGAGGGGTGGTGAAAGCCCCGAGCTGGCACTCCGAGGCGCACTGTGGGCGAAGGCAAACCACGAAGGCAAAAATTCAAATCCGATTGCTTCGTGAGCTTGTAACTACATTTCAAGACAATATTTCTGGTAAAACAAATGAAAATCATATTTGAAATATATAATTTCTTGCATATATCACATTTTCATTGGCATCTTCGATCCCCCTTCATGCCGAAGACGTTTCTGACTTATTCTGCGACACAATTACTGGTGTCTCAGAAGAAACGTTAAAAACTTGTATGGACGAAGAGGGTTTGAAAGTGATCACATTTTGCCAATGAACATGTAGAAACTCAATGAAGTTAAAAAATCGAAAATAACGAAGTAAGATGTATTTATTCATGTGACATTGGCCACTGATCTTAATTCAACCCAGTATGTCCAGATGTTTACCAGGACACCTTTTGACCTAGTCAAGGACATTCATGTACTTGCCGGATTGTATTCATACAGGGTTGTTTAAAAATCAGGGGATGCATCCACACATAAAAATGCATATAATTCCGTCATATGTTTTATAGCATATATGTCACCCATGTTTCCCAGGATACATTCATTAGAAAATAGTGATCATTTGCGACCCCTCTACATGCCCCAGAGGTTTGTAACATTTATTCTGACAACATTCTGAATACAGACAGGTGACTGCTGACGAGCAAGCGGAGAATCGCCATGACTGCCGCATCTCGTCTGCCAGTTGCGGCACCGCGCGTCCGGCCGCAGCATCCCTTTCGACCCTTCCGCATCTTCTTCTGCCTTCACCTCCGCGTCCGTCTTCCTTCCTCTCCCCCGCTCACCATCGGCGGCCGAGGGTACCGAGTAAACGCGGCGTGCTTGGCTCAGCACAAGTTGCGCACAATTGTGCCTACGCAAATACACGCAAAGCGGCCAACATGCTGGAAAAAAGCTCGGCACAGTAACGAAAGATGGCGGATCTCACTGCTTTCGCAATGGTTACGAAATGGATAGATAGTGATAAGAAGAGCAAAAAGGGGAAGACGAATGAAATCGATGAGAAGAATAAGAGGTCAAATAATGAAAAAAAAGGGAAAACTAGAAAGGAAAATACAAGAAATAAATAAAGAGAAATCTGCGACAAATTAGAAAATAGAAGAGGAAAATAATGAAAAAGAGACGAAGTAAAAGAAGCGGAAAACACGAGGAATCAATGTTTTTCTATTATCTGATCATAAAAACGGGAAGATAAGAGGCGGAAGAAAGTATAGTGTACGGAGAAGAGAGAACTCTTGAAGAAAAAAGAGAAAAGAAATCTTAAAGGAAAAAAGTAAGAATCCAAACTATTAGAAGGAACGGATAATCTCAAGATGAATAAAGTTCCTCAAATAATGAAGTTAATTTTATACTTGGAATGCTGCACAACAGGCATCGGTAGGGCAGAGTTTAAATTCAATGCCTTACCTTCGACTTTAGGTCTCAATTCCTGACAAGTCCCAGAAATTTGCTTAATGTGTTAATCATCAGCGAGATTGTGACGTCTACCAGAATGGAATTTAGAACTCAACTGCTCTTATCGTTGACTTCAACAACTTCCAGGCGATAATGGATTGATTTACTAGTTGTCTAGGCGCGGCAACTGCTATGATTACACAGCGCGACAATCAAATTGCCGCAAAATAAAAATACGTATTTGTTATGTAGTTCAGTGCCCTGATGACGGTGGTGAAAACCATTTTTCGCCATCACCTAAACTTTCTACAATTTTATCTCCTGCCGACTGTGATATTTATGTTGTCGCGGCGCATATCATATTCTGTTATTTTAGGAAAATTATTGCTTAATGTTGGGGAGTAGAAAGGGCAGGGGTAGGTAACAACTGGAGGTAGGTAAAGTGA